TCGACTAGCTGATCGATCCTCGACAAGGGATAGAAATCCTTCGGACAAGCCTTATTTAGGTCCGTGAAGTCAACACACATCCTCCAGGTACCATTGGCCTTCTGAACCATCACCACATTTGCCAGCCATTCTGGATATTGGCAAGGCTCGATGAAGCCTGCCTCCGGCAATTTTTTGACCTCGGCTGCGATGTCTCGGTTCTTATTAGCGGAGTAATTCCGCTTCTTTTGCTTAATTGGTCGACACATTGGGTCAACATTAAGCTTAGGGGAGATGAGGTCTGGACTTATCCCGGGCATATCAGTTGCCGAGAAAGCAAACACATCTCTGTTGTCCCGAAGGAGCTGAATAAGTTCACAACGGGTGTTCGGATCAAGGTCCATCCCGATTGTTACACATTTCTCAACGTCTCCTTCGGCCAACTCAACTGTTTCAGTCTGTTGGTCCATGTCCATTGCTGATGGACTGGACTCTTCATAATCTGGCCTGCTGCCTATGTCAGCAGGTGTCCCAGTCTTTTTGTTCTTCGGCTGGCTCTCTGAGTCTTGCTGTTCAGCTGAAGAGATAGCCTTTTCCCTTTCGGGCCCTTTACCTCTGGGTACAGATCCTTGGGCCGAAGCACTTAGGCCTTTCGGCTTTTTTGTGCTTGGCTCTCTTTCTTTTTCTTTCTCCTCCTCATCCTTGTCGTCATCTGGGCGACTACTGGATGGCTTGAGGTAGTTGCACCTTCGGGCGTCCTTTTGGTTGCCCTGTATCCTTTCGGGGAAGCCGGCGTCTGAGACGTAAATCATCAGCTGATGATAAGTTGAGACGACCCCTTGGATCTCATGAATTATGGGTCTCCCCAAAATCACGTTGTACACTGAAGGAGCGTCAATGACCAAAAATTCAATCATGACGTTCCTGGCTGCCTCATCGCAGCCGATGGTGATAGGAAGTGTCACCTTCCCATCTGGATAAGTTGAAGCCCCGTTGAACCCGGATACCGGGTAGGGTACCGACGTAAGGTGCTTGGGCTTCAGCTTGATTTGATTGTAGGCCTTTCGGAACAGAATGTTTGCTCCGCTGCCACCGTCAACAAGGACCTTACTGACGTCGTGGTTGGCCACCGTGGCGATGATCACCAACGGATCCTCGTGAGGGAACGTTATCCCCCGGCAGTCGGCGGCTGTGAACGTCATGTTCGGCACCGACGATTGGGGAGACTGAATTTCAGCGTTGTTCACCTGGTGAGTCAAAGCTCTAAGGTGTCGCTTGTGCTCCCTCCGAGAGTATATTCCTCCCGAGATAACATTGATCGGAGAGAATTTCCCCTCCGGCTTTTTACTGTTCTTCCGGGGGAAGTCGAGGTCTTGTCGAGAGTCCTTTGCTGACTTCTCGGACTCTTTTTTCTCGCGGTGATCCGCGATGTATTTTTTCAAGTATCCCTTCCAGACCATGTCCTCTATCTGGTCCTTCAGTTGGATACACTCCTCAGTGTTGTGTCCCGGAGACTCGTGGAACTCGCACCACTGATTTTTATTTTTCCGCTGATACCACTCTGGGAGTGGTCTGGGCTTTCGGTAACTCTGCTCCTCCTTCGTCACGGTGTAAATTTTGGCGCGTGGAAGAGAGAGCGGAGTGTAGGACTCGTATCTGCCTGTGTATGAGGCAGATTTTTCCTTCTTTGGGTCGCTGGCCGAAGATTGCTCCGAGGCCTTTGACTTTCCCTTTGTCTTATGGCCTTGGCCTTCAGACAAGGGTATTTGTTTTTGTTTCCCTCCCCCGAATTGAGGTTGGGTTTTCGCTTTGTTCCATTCTTCGGCTCGGATGAACTTATCCGAGGTATTCAGAGCTTCCTCCAAGGTCTGCGGGGTATGCATGACCATGAAGTCTAGGAACTTCCCGGGCTGAAGGCCATTCTGCATTGCAAAAACGGCTAGCCCCTGGTCCAGCTGAGAGACGCTGGATGACTCGTTACTGAAACGGGTCAGATAGTCTCGGAGGCTTTCGGTTTCCCCCTGTTGCAGACTCATGAGTTCTGCAGTAGTCTTCTCTCGGCGGTTTGCCGTGGAAAACTTGCTCCTAAATTTGGAGGACAGATCATCCCACCCTGTTATGGAGCCTTGCTTTACTCCCTTGGAGATCCACGCTTGCGCGACCCCCTTGAGAGTGGTTGGGAAATATTTGCACCAAGTCGCTTCGGATCTGGGGCAAAGATGCATATGAGTCTCATACGAGGCCACGTGGTCCTTCGGATCCGAGGTCCCGTCATATGTGATGTGCGACGGTATTTTAACTGTGGGCACATGCTCTTCCAGAATCCATTGCTCGAATGGCGAACTGGCGGGTAGCATAACGGCCTTGCCCTTGTTCCTGGCCGAAGGGACCGCGCTCCGCCCTCTTAGAGAGGTAGGAGTGGTTTTCGTCCCTGGCTGGGAAGTCTGGGCCTCGGCCGCAGGGAACGAGAGGCGACTGCGCACGCTCGGTTCCTTGCCGCCGAGTCGGTCGAGGACGCTTCGGCGAACAGTCTCAGGTTCTCGGTGAGTAGATTCTGGCCGAGAAGCTGAGCTGCTGCTCTTATGCGTCTCTGGTCGGGAGGATGAGGATCCTTTTAAAAATTGAGGGTTCTTTTTCCTCTCTTTTTCATTTTTCCAGGTATCCTCTTCCCACTCTTCCAGTTCCCGGAAGGAAGGAAGCTTCCCACCATCATGGTCTAGCTTCCTCCGCTGATGCCGGGTATGCGGAGGAGTTCGATCACGAGGTGGTGGCATATTTTGTGCCCTCATTGCCTCCATGAGCACTGCCAGCGCTCTTGCCACCTCCTCCGAGCTGGGCCCCGCCAGAGGGGTCCTCGGCTGAGTATGGGAATGAGGGGGCACATTCGATGGTTGGCTTTGGGGCACTGCATGTGTCCTATGATCGGACTCACCCCTGCTAGACCGAGAGTGACTCGGCCTATGATGAGAGTCATGAATTACGGAAGAAAGGGAATCCTCCTTGTATGATCCTCCCCCCGAGTTGGCACCCTTGGGAGAGTTCCGGTCCGGGGAGGGTGATAGTGTAGGGGTTTTAGGCTTTTCGCCCGCTCCTTGACGGAGGCCTTTGCTCTTGCGGTTCTTAGCCATTGCTACTAAGATAATTGCAAGATGATCTTGGTTAGAAATTTGGCTTAAAGATTTTTGAAAGTCTTCCCCACAGACGGCGCCAAATTGTTTCGGGTGAAAAAAATGGGACCTTGCCGAAGGTCCGATGAAGCGGAGAAGACTAGATTCGATCCAAGTAGTGTTGGGCCGAAGGTTTCCTGCACAGTAAACACACGTAAACTAGCCTCGAGGGTGTTGCCGAGGAAGGCCCCTCCGATGCTAAAGTCAGTACAATGTGTAGAAAGAGAACATTATGCAAGAGAATTAGTTGCTTGAGGCTTTGCTTGAATTAATGAGAATGAATGTAAAAATGTAATATTGATGGCTTTTATACCTCTTCATACATGGAGAAGTTGGGCCTTAGCCCAATTGGTTTGCCTTGAGGATTGATCTTTGACTTTAGCACAATTGGAGAGATGAACCTTGACCTTGGGCTTTTAATTGGATCATTTAATGCCTAAGCCCAATTAGACTAAATTGGACCCAAACAAGTTGTATGCTGTAATCAATGATGTTGCTGGGATTCTTCAAGCTAATGGTAATATTCTAATCAGGCATGTCCCTATGGAGAAAAATAAACTTGCTCACAGTCTCGCTGCTTACGGTCTGGAAATGAATGTTGGTCACAAGGATCTCTTCCTTGTTCCTCCTTTTGCTAAGCATATTTATGATGCAGACTTGGGTGTTTGCTCTTCCTCTTCTGGATAACTGCAGGTTGATGTGTTTGGATGTCTCCTTTTGTTGTCAATGGTAGTAGTAATACCACTAGTATGCTTATCAGCTTTTTTTTAGTAGTTCTCCTTTTCTATTTGTATTATATCGGTTTAGCTCTGTATTTCAGTTCTTTTCTTTCTGATAGTACTAATAGTAGTAGCTGTTCTAGGATGCAGTTTCAGGATCCCGCTCTCAGCCATGTATTTTGGATTAGTATTAGCCTGGCTAGTGGGGATTTTGCTTTTGGTGTAACAAACTTTATGAGGCTTTAAGCCTGTAATATATTCTCTTCGTTTGTGTTAAAAAAAATTAGGTTAAGATTATATATTCATATGAAATCTTGTTAGATTCGTCATATTAATTTATATAATTTATGAATCTATTTTATTTTTGTAGATGCAAGCCTTATATTTCCTATTCTCGTTAATTTATAAAAGATTATATATTCATATGAAATCTTGTTGGATTCGTTATATTATATATTTTATTAATATTAAGTTTTTATTATTTTTACGCGTATAAAATAGAGATATACGGAGTAGAAGTTTAAAGACATGTCTTAGAGAACGTGAAAAGTCAAATAAAAAACTTTTTTTTAAAAGAAAATGGAAACTATATTTAGGACAAAGGGAGTATACATTTTCCAAATCAAAATACAGAAATTGTTAGCCTGTTTTGGACGATTACTTATTTAATTTAGAAGTTTAAATTGTAGAAATTGAAAATAGATTTTTGAAAGATACGTGTGATACAATACAATGTTCCTTCTATACAGTATGTGACTAGATAAGGAGAGCAACTTTTTATACGGTTCCTTTTTTTTTTAAATAAACTTGGTCCATTGCATGAGCATGCAATAATTTTGTCATTCTTGACATTTGGTCCTTTTTGGATCTATTAATATACTCCCTTTGTCTTATTTCTTTTTAAGGTCTCCAATGCACATATTAAAACGTTAATATCTCCATTTTCATACACATAAAAGTTATAAAAAATTACTGATATTAACAAAATATAAATTGAGACGAATTAAACAATACTGCATTTGACTATATTACCTCTTGTAAAGTAATAGAAATAGTGGTCAAACTTATCAAAAGTTAACCTAAATTTTGACAATGGGACAAAGAAGTAGAGACAGAGGATAAATACAACTTAGTGATAAACATAATTAAATGAACCGTTACCCATTTTCGCTAATCTAGTCTAGAAATAAAAGGTGTAGCTTGGTTTTGTTTATCTACATACTTTACACCTTTACGGCTATACCATAAGAGATTAAGAGATGTTGCTGTTCTTTCCCTTACTAGCAATCTTCTCCCTCACCATAATATATTTGTTTCTTCTTCCAAAGCACACTAAAAATAATGAGCCATTACTTCATCCTCCTCCTGGACCTAAAGGAATCCCTTTCATTGGAAACCTACACCAATTCGACGCCTCGAAACCTCATGTATACCTTGCTGAGCTTGCTAAGACATATGGTCCAATCATAAGCTTGAGATTCGGACGTGTGCCGGTTGTTGCGGTTCATTCAGCCAAACTAGCCAAAGAGGTCCTTCAAACACAAGACCTTAACTTTTGTAGTAGACCACCCTTGGTTAGTATGCAAAGGCTAAGTTATAATGGATTAGACATGGCTTTTGCTCCATATAATGAGTATCTAAGAGAAATAAGGAAGATAAGTATTGTTCATCTCCTTAGCTCTAAGAGAGTAGATTCTTTTGCTCCGATTCGACAAGAAGAAGTCTCAAGGGTGATGAAGAAGATCTCCTCTCTTTCTTCAGCTTCCAAAATTGTTAATCTAAGTGAACTGCTTATGGGGTTTTCAGCTTCGAATATATGTAGGATTGCTTTTGGCAAAAGGTACATACAACTATATCCCATAAAACTATATATTTTTTTTAATCTTAGTGTTATGATATGCTATACCTAGAATCTTTCTTTACTTGATTAATGCATGATAAATTAAAATCATGCATTGATTGGTGTAATTAATGTTTAATTTAGCTTAATAGTTCACTTTAACTTTTCATGTGCAATCCCAAAGTTATAGTGTCGTGTGAGTTACTTTTTTTTCCCTAATATTAAGGTGATGCTTAGAGTAAAACCAATGGACGGTCAAAATTGATTTTTGTAAGTTAAAAACTAAGCTAGGCCAAAAGTGATGATGTCAACGTTTGTTATTTTAGTATTTTTGTAGATAGATTTAATATCAATTCATGTCAATCAAAGATATTGTATTTGTCCTAATACATAGGCTTACATGCATAGGTGCGAAGATGATGAAGGGTTATCAAGGAGGAGCAAATTCCATAGCATGTTAAATGAAGCACAAGCCATGTTCACAAGCTTCTTCTTTAGTGATTATTTTCCTACTATTGGGTGGCTTGATAAACTAAGTGGAAAGTTTTCTAGACTTGAGAAGATATTTAAGGATATGGATGCATTTTATGAAGAGATCATAAATGACCATCTTGCCCCTAACAAGCCTAAATCTGAGAGGGAGGATATAATTGACATTCTACTCCGCCTTAGAGAACATCATCCCTCTTATCAACTCACTTTGGACCACATCAAAGCAATTTTAATGGTAAGTAAGATGATTTAAATGTATAATCTCTCCAAATCTTTTTGTTTATCTCTAAGTTGTATTGAGCGGCTATACTACGTATAACCTTGATTGGGTGGGACAAAAGGGTACAGACTTGATGCCCGGTGGGACAAAAAACTGTGTAAAGAGGAGGTGTAGGGACCATCTTACTGAAATGAGGTTGTTTGAATCAATAATTACTCATATCTTCAATGATAATAACAAAGTTCCGTTGGTATATTTAGATTTTATGTTGGTATAATTATTATAACCAATATGAGATCTAAATATACCAACAAGATTGTTGGTATTTGTAAACTTTATATTGGTATAATTAGTGTGCCAACATGAGGTAAAATGTACCAATAGAAACACTTGTTATTGTCATTCATGACAATATTAATTATGGGCATGCAATAAAGCAATTTTAAAGGGACAAAACTAAAGAATTGCGGCCCGGATGAACCTTTTAGAGAGTAAGAAAATAGTTGTATCATGACATGTTCATGTTAGGTCTCGTATTCTTTCATGTAATTCACAAAATTCTATCAACAAATATGTGAAATTAGGATAGTTGATTATTAACCAATATATCTAAACAGATATTATTAGATTTCGTGTCGTGTTGACTTCGTGTAATGTATTCTCGCATTAAATTCGTGTTCAAGTCGGTTTCAATCAAGTTGCCGTGTCAAAGATTGTCAAAGCTAGTGTGGAGTATTACTTTGATATTTGAAGGAAAGATAAACTATAACTTTATAATTAGTGGTCTCATAATAACCAAAACGTACTTATAATAAAATTTATAATTCATAACAAAGGTTACTTTTTGTTAACAGAATATATTTGTTGCGGGAGCAGATACAAGTGTAGTGATGGTTGTTTGGGCAATGACGGAGTTAATAAAACACCCGGAATCAATGAACAAAGTACAAGAAGAGCTTAGGAATGCTATTCAAAACACGAATTGCATCAACAAATGTAACTTTAAGGAGCTTAAATACTTTCAAGCAGTGATGAAGGAAACATTTAGGCTACACCCTGCAGGGCCACTATTAGTTGTTCGCGAAACAATTCAAAAAACCAAGATTGAAGGGTATGATATTCTACCCGGAACATTAGTACATGTGAACGCGTGGGCTATTGGAAGAGATCCCGAGTCTTGGATAGATCCTGAAAAATTCATGCCTGAAAGGTTTTTAGAAAGTACAATAGATTTCAAAGGATGTGACTTTGAGCTAATTCCTTTCGGGGCTGGAAGAAGAATATGTCCTGGTTTACATCTCGGTGTTGCTAATGTGGAGCTCGTACTTGCCAATTTGTTGCACTCGTTCGATTGGGAATTGCCTAGTGGTGTTAAGAAAGAGGACATTGACACTGATGTTCTTCCTGGTATTGCTATGCATAAGAAAAATCCATTATGCCTAGTGGCTAAAAAATATTAGGGCTAAATAAAACCTTAATTTGATGTTCAAAATAAACCTAGGGTTTTATCTGTTATGTATTATTGTATAAGTATTTATTGTACAATATTGAACCATGAAAATAAGTCATAGGACAATATTAACGATATGGTCCTCGAGCATCACCGGACAAAAATGTGTGTTATATATATAGTGTATTTTTGCAAGTAAGAAAAATAAAAGATGTAAATTGGCCTCAACAACATGAATTTTGCCTTATATTGATGGTTATAGATATCTATATATTTATACCCGTTCAAAAGTAAATGGGAGCAAAGTTAGTTGGAGAAAACTACCTTACGTAGTTACGTACCTCATTTTGTAACTCCTTACGCATTAATTAATGAAGCTGAAAAAGATAACAAACAAGAATTATACTACCTAAGTGTAACTCTTCTTGCAGAGTAGCACATTGGCCCATGCTTCTCTCCACTATCGGAGAACACTAAATATACCAAGCTACCCCAGGCCATAAGGCCATACCGTGCCATTGCCATAATACTAACTAATAATGGATGCAGCCTATACGTCTCGGCAACCTTGCATCGTCCATTCGTCCCTGTGGACACTTATTTTTTAACTCAATTCTTTTGAAACGACTTTCAATCAAATATGGACTACGACCAATATAATTAACATCTTTCACGGTTCAATATGGAACTATGGGTTATTATATATGAACTATTTTTGTTTCTTTATGTTAGTTGTTCTTAGTTGGAATCTTTATAGGTCTAGTAGTATGACTAAATCATAAAATCTAACAAACTTATAAGAAACTATAAGAAAACCATCATCATTGAAATCTTTTTTATTTCTTATCTTCTAAATGTGTGTAATTAAAATTACTTCTAAATAAGTAATGAATGACATTAATGATTAAGGTTCTGTTCTCATACGTTTATTTTCAATTCAGTTCAGTTCAGCTCAACTCAACTTAGTTCAGTTTAGTTCAGTTCAGTTCAGTTCAGTTTAGATCCTAATTTCCTTCTCTTATAAAATATTCAGTTCAGTTCACTTCAGCTCAGCTGAGTTCAGTCTATGAGAACATGCTTTAAATAGTGCATTAAAAACGCCATAACTTGGTTGTTGGTTCTATTGTTCCCCATCACTGCGCACAAATGAACAATATGTACATAACTGCGCATCTACCTGTCTAGATGAACATAATGTAGACGTGTAGTTAACTAGTTATAATCTATCTGCGAGTCTATATATATAGTACTGTATATGTAATGTGTCTTAATGCAGTACATGAAAACTATACAAATAAAGTAAAAAAACATATACATGCATTTGTAAATCTCTCAAATATAAGAAATGCTTTTGATATTTCCTTTACTTGCAACCCTCTTTCTTACTATCATATATTTTCTACGCAAAAACCCTAGAAAAAATGAGTCATTTCATCCTCCCACTGGACCTAAGGGGATCCCCTTCATCGGAAACCTACACCAATACAACCCCTCGAACCCTCACATCTACTTTGCCAACCTTGCCAAGATCTATGGCCCGATCTTGAGTTTGAGATTTGGACGCGTACCTGTTGTTGTGGTTCAATCGGCCAAGCTAGCAAAGGAGGTTCTCCAAACACAAGACCTAAACTTTTGTAGTAGACCACCCATAGGTGGTATGAAAAGGCTAAGTTATAATGGTTTAGACATTGCTTTTACTCCATATAATGAATATTTCAAAAAAATAAAGAAGATAAGCGTTGTTCATCTCCTTAGTTCTAAAAGAGTGGAGTCTTTTGCTCCGATTCGACAAGAAGAAGTCTCAATGATGATGCATAAGATCTCCTCCCTCTCTTCTGCTTCGAAACCCGTAAATTTGAGTGAATTGCTAATGAGTTTTACAAGTTCAAATATATGCAGGATTGCTTTTGGCAAGAGGTAATATTTTGTACTCTTCTATAACGTTTCTTTCCATGCTTTTGTGTAACATGTAAAAATGTTATGTAGCCATATAAATAATAAGTGGGTATTTTACTCCCTTTGTACGTTTTGTGCACTCTTTTTAAAAGGTTTTTTTCCTTTTTTTTTTTCAAACTTTGACATTATTTCTCACCAACATATGCTTGTATAAGTCAAAAGCACATTATTGTTAGGTATTATAGATTTATCTCATTTTGTATTTTCTATATACGTAAACTTTTTATAACTTTTAGTAGTTAAAATAGTTAGAGTACATAAATTTAGAAATAAAAAGCAAGCATCACGTGTATACATACATTGAACTAGTAATACAATTCTGAAGTGTTTTGCATATATAGGTACGAAGATGATGAAGGGTCAAGGAGCAAATATCATAGCCTACTAAATGAAGCTGAAGCCTTGCTAATAACCTTCTTCTATAGTGATATTTTGCCTTATTTTGGGTGGCTTGATAAGCTAACCGGAAAATTTTCTAGACTTGAGAAGACATTTAAGAAATTGGATGCATTTTATGAAGAAGTCATAAATGACCATATTAACCCTAACAAGCCTAAATCTGATAGAGAGGATATCATCGACATTCTACTCCAACTTAGACAACAACAACCTTCTTTGGAGCTTACTTTGGATCACATCAAAGCAGTGTTAATGGTAATTATTTTCCATAATCTCATCTTTATGAATATTTTAGCTTCTTTGGTTTGTTTTTAAAATTTTAATCACTATATATCTTCATTTTTTTAATTTAAAAGAATATAGAAATTATAAATATGTTACATGGTTTAGTGGTTAAGTCTTCAATACTACGTATATAATTGATCAACAAGTGATTCAAGGGTACGTAATAATCATGTTTTCGGTACTTAAAAGATGAATGATCTGAGACAATTCAATATATTACATAGTTTCACTCAAAAATTTACTTCCTCCATTTCTTTTAGCTGACACGTTTCATTAGTCACGTTTGCCAATGCACAAATTCAATCTTGAATATTTTTAATTAGCGATAAGCAAAAATTATAAAGCGTTGATATTTTGAAAATATATACCGTGATGAATCTAACAAGACTCCACATGATTATATTTTTCATTATGTATAGATCATAAAACACGGTCAAAGAAAAGTGTGTGAATAGTGCTAAATTCAAAATGTGTCGACTAAAAAAAACGAAGGTAGTATGTATTAACATAAATGTCTTCTTGACAAACGATTAGTTTTTTTTTTTTCAGAATATATTTATCGCATCAACCGATACAAGTGCAGCAATGGTAATATGGGCAATGACCGAGCTAATAAAGCATCCCAATTCAATGAAAAACGTACAAGAAGAACTTAGAAATACTATGCAAAACAAGGGTCGTCGTTACATAAATAATGATGACCTTAAGGATCTTGGATACTTCAAGGCAGTAGTGAAGGAAACATTTAGGCTACACCCCGCAAGCCCATTACTAATAGCACACGAAACGATCCATAGAACAACCATCGAAGGGTATGACATTCTACCCAAAACATTAGTATATGTAAATGCATGGGCGATTGGAAGAGATCCTGACTCTTGGAATGACCCCGAAAATTTTGTTCCAGAGAGATTTTTGGAAAGTTCAATAGACTTTATTGGGTGTGACTTCGAGTTAATTCCTTTTGGTGCTGGAAGACGATCATGCCCTGGCTTACATCTCGGTGTAGCTAACATGGAGGTTGCACTTGCCAATTTATTGCATGTTTTTGATTGGGAATTGCCTGCTGGTTTAGAAAGGGAGGACATCGACACTAATGTAATTCCTGGCATTGCTATGCATAAGAAAATTCCATTACGTCTTGTGGCAAAAACAAAATTAATGGACCAAATGTAACCTTAAGCTTAATTAATAATTATCTATTATGTACACTCTTATATTGTCATATACTTGGTTTATGCACCAAAGTGGATTTATATTGTTCTAGAATCGAAGAGCATGTTGCAATCAATTGCAATTTTTTTGTTGGTCATTTAATATTTTTAATTGTCACCGATTTATTAGTTTAAGAATCGAAGCCAAGTTGTAGTCACTAGGTGGTAGCATAAAGGTCTATGGCAAGCAACTTTGAGTTAATAATGGAAGGTGTGTATTTAACCTACTAAACTAACCGTTTAAAGGTAAAGTGAACGATTACAACTACCTAAATGATCTCCTGGGGTGTCGTGGGGTCCTTGGAAGCACCCTCCAACCTCTTTTCTTCTCGGGTCTAAAAATTAAAGTCTAAAATTATCTAAAACAGAAGGTTATATAAATACATAATAATACACGAAATCGAATTGCTTGAAGAGTTTTGGAATCCGATATCGAAAACTCTTGAGATTATATTATAGAGATGTACCTAGGGTTCATATAATCGAAATCTCATTCTGCGGCGTAATTATTATTTCACCTGAAGATAAAATCTCTTCCACTACTCTTTTAAGGGAACGACATAAAGGATAGCTAAAAATCACTAAGGCCAACTTCATCCATTATTTTACACCGTATATCAATATGTCATGTGATAATATATATGGCTGGTCCTTCACATATCACATTCAACTGATTCAACTTCATCAATAATCTTTTACAACGACAACTCATTTGATCAAATCATCTTATAGTTACGTTTCCAAATTTAATTGTATAAAACAATGTGTACATAAAAGGTGCCAAAATCTTGATGGATTTCTGATTTTTTCATTTACCTCATTAGGGGTCGATTTCACAGAAAAAGGACAATCTTAATCAGAAAAAACCTAAGGTCTTTAACCAATTGTCTACGAATATGACTAAGAAATTACATTAGGTAGAATTTGTGCGCACAATAATTTTGGCACTAATGACTAATTAACATTATATTGATAGTGATTCATGATAGAGATAATTACTTATTCCAAGAGTATACGACTGATTTTAGGCCTCAATTATTTATCGAGTTGATCCTCTAACATGGTATCGATATTTAAGATGTAGTGTGATTGTATCCATATTTCAAACTCAACAAGCGCTCAAGCACGTGATGTTGGGAGTGGCCTGAGAGACTTAATGGTTCTAGATCACTAATACACCAATCATGTAAAAATTGAAAAAAGATTCCTAATTCTTCTTCATGAATGGTTGCTCAAATATTATCAAATACTCTTTGTTTTCCCATCCACTTAAATTAGTTTTTAGTGGGATTCATTTCTTGTCTCAAATATTGGCCTGTAGTCCAGACCATCTAGCACAAAGTAAACATACAACCAAATATTGGCTTCATGTTTCTACTACTATTGTTTCTTTTAGCAATCTCCCTTCTCTTCTTTCTTGCCACAAAATACTCAAAGAATGGAGGGAAATCGCGGTGGTTAGTTACTCGGCCTCCTGGCCCAAAAGGGCTCCCTTTCCTTGGCAACCTCCTCCAATTCGATCCCATAAAAACTCACTTATACTTCTTTAAACTTACCAAAATTTACGGCCCCCTAGTATACTTGAAACTAGGCTTTGTACCAACAATAGTAGTTTCTTCACCAAAATTGGCCAAAGAAGTGTTAAAAACACAAGATCATGTGTTTTGTAGTAGGCCAACTTTTGTTGGCCAACAAAAATTGTCATACAATGGCTTCGATTTGGCATTTGCACCCTACAATGAATATTGGAGGGAAATGAGGAAAATTTGTGTCATCCATTTATTTAGCTCCAATAGAGTACAATCATTTTCTTCAATTCGAGAAGAGGAAGTTTGTCGAATGATGCGTATCATTTCTTCCTTATCCTCGGAGTCTAACCTCGTAGATTTGAATGCATTGCTAATGTCTCTTTCAAGCTCGATAATATGTAAGATTGGTTTTGGTAAAGGCTACAAGGCTGATGATGAAAAATCTAATGAATTTTCGACGAGTAGATTTCAAGGCCTACTTCATGATACTCAAGCCATATTGACAGCCTTCTTTTTTTCGGATTATTTGCCTTACATGGGTTGGATTGACAAGATAAACGGAGCTTTGAGTAAACTTGAGAGAGTTTTCAGGCAGTTAGATGAGTTTTATGAAGAAATTATTAGTACACATCTTGACTCACATAAGGAAAAACCAGAGCAACAACAGGACATTATCGATGTTTTACTTCAGCTTCGCGAAGAAAACAAGGTGCCATTTGATCTTACATTGGATCATATAAAAGGAGTACTAATGGTAATTGCCAAAATCTTAAACCAGCTTCATATTTTACTTTGGCATGATATTAGACTGTTATATGCTCATTGTATTACTAAAGAAGTCAAGAGTCCTCAATTTTCGTCTGTCTGATGTTGGTACAACATATCTGTAGTGGGATCCATGCTCAACATTATGAATAATTCAGAAATTTTATGTATTATTTGGCAGTAACACAAATAAAACTCGAAACCATGACACATATAATCTGAAGCATTGTTTTGTGGATAGCATATTAGAAGTATCAGAGTATTCGAAAACAGAATTATTAGGCAGCAAAATAATTGAAAAGGGAATTCTGTTCAATTAATGTATAATTGTAGGAAGAAAATACAATCAAATCTATAAAGAAAACAGCACAATACTTGTTTTATATGCTTGATCTTTATCCTAGACTTCAACTGCATATGAAATTTGAATTACAAATAAATTTTAGTGTAATTGATGTATAGCACAAATTAACATTGCACAATACTTGTTTTATATTCCTTTCGCTTTCTACAGAACATATTTGAGCAGGAACGGATACAAGTGCAGCCACAGTGGTTTGGGCGATGACAGAACTAATGAAGAATCCAAATGTCATGAAGAAAGTACAAGAAGAGGTCAGAAACTTGGTTAAAGAACAAGTATGTAGTGCAACAATCATACAAGAAGAACAACTCCATCATCTTATTTATCTGAAGGCGGTTGTTAAAGAAACATTTAGACTACACCCACCAAGTCCGCTCTTGGTTCCTAGGCAAACTATGCAAGAGTGCACCTTAGAAGGGTACCAAATCGAGCAGGGAACTTTAGTCTTTATCAATGCTTGGGCTATCGGAAGGGATCCTGAAAGCTGGGATAACCCGGAAACTTTTCTTCCTGAAAGATTTCTTGGAAGTCCTAATCCTGTTGATTACAAAGGACAAGATTTCGAGTTAATACCATTTGGAGCAGGGCGAAGAGGCTGCCCCGGTATGGTGCTAGGAGTTACTACAATTGAACTAGCACTAGCAAATTTGTTGTGTTTCTTTGATTGGGAATTGCCTGCTTCAATGAAGAGGGAAGATATTGACATGGATAATTTACCTGGTATCACTGCTCATAAGAAAAAAGCCCTGTGTCTTAGTGCTACAAATTTACTTGGCCTGCAATAGATGTAACATAAATAACGTTGATTTTCGATATATTTTGAAAGGTTACATGATGAAAAATATCATTACCGTGCTTGTTGCTCGTTAACTAAAATATGTATCTAAGCAGGATATCTAACCATCAATAATGTGATAACTAAATCTGAGGATAGAAAATAGAGTATTACATGACGTAAAATACACATATGCTTACAATTATATAGTTAGACGTGTAATATCAATATGTATACTTAAACTTATGTCCATTGTTATTTTTAGTACATAAAAATTGCCTTACTTGCCTAAAAAATTTGTATACTAGTATTAGTTAATTGGCAACAAGCCAACAAGGTGAGCTTATGTTGTGATAGGGACAAGCCTAAATAATGCAATATATACAATGTTAGCAGTAGCAATTAAATTTTAAGTAATGCAAATATCATACCTGATTTTCTCATAAACCTTAAGTGGTTTAAACACCTCTATCAAATGATATTTATAGTCCTAAACATGCAACTAAAAGAGCATAGAGGCAAGTTAAGGGTCGAACACAGGGAAACGATTAAGCACCGCTATTTATCTCCTAATGTTAATCTAATTCGATCAAGAAGTATGGTGGGTAAAGTAATGACTAAAGGGGATAGAATAACAATTAAAACAAGCACTAGGGGGAAGGATCAAACATGCTATGAATTCAACGGAATTAGGCATCGGAAAATAGGTTTACATGTAACCCAAGCAACTCATACAAGGCAATATCAAGAATACTCTCTAATCACCTATCGGGATTAAGAGCTTTCCTAGCTAGCATACACTCACACTATCGTCGTAAGGCATACAAGCTAAGGTCATGCAATAATCAATCACCTAATGACTATTCTTAAGTCGCACTATCGTCACGATTTAGTTCACGTCATTCAACCACAACATGCATATGGCCATAAACATGGAGTGGCTAATAAGTATAAGCACAAGGAAGATTTAATCACAAATGTTCCAAATTAACCTAGCCTAGCATACATCAAACTCAAAGCATATCTTCACCAAACCCCTAGCAACAAGAAACTACTCACTAGTCCTAACTACAACTACCATCATACTAAGCAACATTATAACCAATGGAATAGTAAGAAAGACAAAGTTTTTATCAACTAAACTAACAAAGGTAGAAACTTTAATCATAAAAAACAAGAGAAAATAGATAAATGTACCAAAACCTTCATTGAAATCCAAATAAAGAGCCATACATCATTCAATCTCCAAGCTTGACCATACATCAATGTTGCAAAATTACTTCTTCAAAAACTAAGAGTAAAACTAATATTATTTAATTGTTTCAATTTCGTTTAAGTCATTTCATCTTTTGAGATAAGGATGAAAATCTAATCAATTTTTTAAAAATAAATAAATAAATAAATTCTTCCATGTGATTAAAAGTTCAATAGATTAATTATTAAAGAAAAGTTTTAAATAAAATCAAGAAAAGGGTCTTTCAAAAATAAATCAAGAAAAGGGTATTCTGTTTCTTTATAACAGACTCAAGTAACGGCCTTAACTAACTAAAACTAACCGACCCAAAGACGATAAATATCTGTTTTGTATTACAACTAACTACTTACAAACACCTATAAATATCAATCTTCCCTCAATTAAATCATTAATCAGCCATTTCCCAAGTATTCTGTTTACTTTCATCAACCCATTTCATAAGAAATTCTCTGTTTTTTCTCCAAAACTAAGAAATCTTTCTCTGCTTCTTTCTTGATTAACAATGGCTTCGACTTCTCGATACGAAAGCGAATTCGAGGCAATCGTAAACAATCACAACGATTTAGAGAGGGATCCAACACAGCAGTTCATAAGGTTCAACAAAGTCATAGCAATCGGAGCCTCGAAGAAAGTATACCAAGGATTAGACACATACAGCGGCATCAAAATTGCTTGGACTAAAATCGAAGTTGGAGAAATCACTGAAGAAGAATCAAACAACCGTTGTAAACAAGCTGAAATGTTACAGTCATTAAACCATCAAAACATACTGAAATGTTACACTTTCTGGTATGATGGAAGACAATTCATTAACATTATTACTGAACTTTGTTCTTCTGGTAATCTGAGGGACTACATTCAGAAACATGACCTGTTTCACTGTGATTCTGCAATCAAGAACTGGTGTCGACAGATTTTAACCGCGTTACATTATGTTCACAACAACAACATCATACACCATGATGTTAGTATTACTAATATCCTGGTTAATGGGGACTCAGGCACGGTGAAGCTAGCTGATTTTGGTGCCGCGGTCTATAAAGAAGCCGAGTATGTTAACAGCCCGAGTGCTGGTACACCAGAGTACATAGCACCAGAGATTGTAAGAGGTAAAATGTATAATCAGTTGGTTGACATACATTCTTTTGGGATGACTGTGGTACAAATGGTGACTAAGGACACAATATACTGCGAATACGAGGGGGTTAATTACTCAAAGGATGTTATTGCAGCAATTGAGGCCAGTTTTTTTCCTGTTGCATTGAGTAAAGTGGCTGATCATGATCCTCAACTTTTAAACTTCATTCAAAAGTGTGTTGTTCCTGCTTCTCTGAGACCCGCCGCAGTTCGACTCCTTAGAGAGCCGTATCTTGTAGCGACCGCGACTAGTGAGCCTGATCGAAGCCAAGATAAGCCATCATCACCAGGCCGGTTCGGGTCCTTAAGGAGGCTGTCATTGACTCGCAAGAACAAGCACTACTCTCGATTCGATTCGATTTGATTCTTTATATAGTATGCAGTTAAGGCTTTTCTTTAGTGCAAGTTATGTATTATTAGTCAGTGTTCTAGTCATACATGGTGTGTGTGTGTGTAAGAGTGGTGGGGGTTTGATTTTTCATTTGTTATTTGATTTTAGTGTTAGTTTGATTTGAATAGAAGAACATTATTGTTTGATGTAAGTGTTAGTTTGATTTGAATAAAAGAACATTAATGTTGAGTTAGTTAACTGTAATTGATTGTAGCTAGTATAATGCAATTTTTATATTTTTGTTTTATAAACATGTGTTTAAACAAGAATATTGCCCTTGATTAGTATAATTGAATCTCGGCTTGGTTGAATAAAATAATGACAATGTACGATCCCTAGGTAAGGTAGTGGAATTGCAAATTAAACTCGCCGCACATTAAATTATACACTAATTGTATATAGGACCTACTTTTTATTCGTTTTGTTATAACTCTTTGATATATTGTTTTGGACATAATTCTCGATTTTTTAATTAATACTCAGAATCTCATAGTTATTACTTCACTTACCGTTCACTCTTTTGGAGAGAGTTTTGTGGGGATAGTTAAAGACTAGTAGATGGAAACAACATGAAGGATAGCTACAAAATCACCAAAACTAAACCAATTTCATCCATTATATATACAATATATGCATGCTTTGTGATATACTTGGTATAATTTTTTTGGTGGTCCTTCACATCACATTCAATTGATTCAAAAGTTCAACTTCAATTCAGTACTTCAACTTCAATTCAACAATCATCTACTTCCTATAGACAAGCAAACCTTAAATACAAAGTAGTTGTGATTTTAAATCAAATTAAAGTGTACAAAAGAGGTAAAATCTTGGTGGATTTCTAACTATCATCTTAATAAGCCCGTTAAAGTCACACTAATTTATATGCAAAAAAAAGTGCTTAAAGTCCAGACCATCAATCAGTCAATCACAAGTAAACTTACAACCAACCTTCATGTTTCTACTAGCATTGTTTCTTGCAACGTTTTCTCTTCTCTACTTTCTTGCAACAAAATCATCAAAGAATGGAGGGCAATCACGGTGGTTAGATCCCCGGCCTCCTGGCCCGAAAGGGCTCCCCTTCCTTGGCAACCTCCACCAATTTCATCCACTAAAAACTCACTTATACTTCTTTAAACTTTCCAAATTTTACGGTCCCCTAGTATACTTGAAACTAGGCTTTGTGCCAACAATTGTGATTTCTTCACCAAATTTGGCCAAAGAAGTGCTAAAAACACAAGATCATGTGTTTTGTAGTAGGCCAACTTTTGTTGGCCAACAAAAATTGTCTTACAATGGTTTCGATTTGGCTTTTTCACCCTATAATGAATATTGGAGGGAAATGAGGAAAATTTGTGTCATAAATCTATTCAGTTCCAAGAGAGTACAATCATTTTCTTCAATTCGAGAAGTGGAAGTTTATCGAATGATGTGTATCATTTCTTCACTCTCCTCGGAGTCTAAGCTCGTGGATTTGAGTGAATTGCTAATGTCTCTGGCAAGCTCGATAATATGTAGGATTTGTTTTCAAAAGGGCAACAAAGATAATGAAAGAGCTAATGAATTTTCGACGAGTAGATTCCAAGGCCTACTTCATGAGACTCAAGCCATGTTAACAGCCTTCTTTTTTTCGGATTATTTACCTTACATGGGTTGGGTTGACAAGATAAATGGAGCTTCAAGCAAACTTGAGAAAGTATTTTGGGAGTTAGATGAGTTTTGTCGAGAAATTATAAGTACGCGTCTTGACTCACATAAGCAAAAATCAGAGCAACAACAGGACATTGTTGATGTATTACTTCAACTTCTCGAAGAATACAAGGTGCCATTTGATCTTACATTGGATCATATCAAAGCATTACTTATGGTAATTGCCAATATCTTAACTAACTTCAATGCCTTCTACATACTTTGACATGATTTTAGATAGTTATATGCTCTTTACATTGCTTAATATTTTACAATTTTCGTCTGTCTTATATGTAACTCAAAGAAGATAATGCATAATATTTGTTCTTCTTTACGCTCTCTGCAGAACATATTTGTAGCAGGAACGGATACAAATGCAGCCACGGTGGTTTGGGCGATGACAGAGCTAATGAAAAACCCACAGGTCATGAAGAAAGTGCAAGAAGAGGTCAGAAACCTGATTAAAGAGCAAGAATGTAGCGCGACTTTAATACAAGAAGAACAACTTCATCATCTCATCTATCTGAAGGCGGTTGTTAAAGAAACATTTAGACTACACCCACCAAGTCCGCTCTTGGTTCCTAGACAAACTATGCAAAAATGCACCTTAGGAGGATACCATATTGATCCCGGAACATTAGTTTTTGTCAATGCTTGGGCTATCGGAAGGGACCCTGAAAGCTGGGATAACCCGGAAAATTTTCTTCCTGAAAGATTTCTGGGAAGTTCTATTGATTACAAAGGACAAGATTTCAAGCTAATACCATTTGGAGGAGGGCGAAGAGGTTGCCCTGGTATGCTGCTAGGAGTTACTACAATTGAACTAGCACTTGCGAATTTGCTGTGTTTCTTTGACTGGGAATTGCCTGCTTCAATGAAGAAGGAAGATATTGACATGGATAATTTACCTGGTATCACTGCTCATAAGAAAAAAGCCTCGTGTCTTAGTGCTACAAATTTCATTGGCCTGCAATAGATGCAACATCATTAGCATTGAATTTTCGATATTTTGAAGATTGAATGAAGATGTATCACCATGTTTGTTACTGTAAAGATTGTGAGAAATCTAAGTTCACTCCTAAATGATCTCTAAACATGATGTGACAACTAAATCTGAACTATAGAATAAAAATACCGCATGCTGTAAAATACACCCTCGTAGATGCTTACAGTTCTCCGATAGTTAGAAGAGTAATTTGAAATCCTTAGCCTGAGGTCATAAGATGGTTGTATACTTGTTTTAGTCACTTCATCACTCGGCAATAAAAGTGAGCTAATATTTATCATCAACAAACAGAGCAATAAAAGAGATCAAATTTCCTTTAAATTATAAAAGTACAAACCAAATCCTCACAAAGCATCATTTCTCGTGACATAATGTTAGCACTAAACAATTAAACTCTCACTAAGTAAGAACCTAGCCTTCCTCTTCCTCACTTTTCCTTCTTGTTTTGAATGGGAAAAATGAATAGTCAACAGGTCCAAAGGCCTAAGTAGTACACCTCTACACATTTAGACAAAATTTCCGCTCATTTAGGCGGGAAATTAAAACTCAACACCTCACTTCAACTTCACTTGCGAGCCTTCCCTCTTGACCCTTTAGGGCGACCACGGCCTCTGCCTATGCTTTTAGTCTCAACTGGACTTTTCGTGCTAGGCCTACCACGGCCTCTACCCCCAGCTTTCCCACCCCGTTGCCTCACGTGTCCATTTTCCATTTCTTCTTCACTTTCATCATCACTGCCATTGTCACTATCTTGGTCTTCCTCCTCTTCAGACTCAGACAAGTCCTTTGACTTCTTTCTCTTCTTGGAATTGTCAGCAGGGCTTTTCTTGGTAGTTTTCTTGGCAGAGGTCACAGGTGTTTCGACCTCAGCAACTACATAATTCAATCCGCATTGTAGATCAGATATATGCCAATTACTTGCATAAAACACCAGCATATGACAAAGGACAAAGTAAATTAGGAGATTTGTTACTACATACCTTCTCCAGATGCTTTTCCATCATGAACATCAAGCTGTCACAAAACAAAGATGTTAAAACTAGCACCAATGCTTACAGTTAACTTAAATTTGCATCTAGGCCTCAGAGGTAACAGTCAACAAAATCAGCGTAATATAAAAAATAAAAAATAAATAAAATAAAAAGGTAAACCCATTAATGTAGAACACAAGGAAGTGAAGGAACCTTATGGAAATTAAAGCTGTGCTTGATTTAGAGAAACAACATATTTCGTATTTGAGAAATCGGATTTCCACTGTTTACTTTGTAACGAGTGAAAAAAAAAATTCTTAAGTTGAAAATAGTTATCCGAACAGTGAAAAAATAATCTCCATTGTTCAAAATTGCATCTACAATTTTTTTTTATACCACACCTTTCCCTCCTCTCCTCCCTTCCAATTCTCAAGAAAACCAAAAACTGAAATGTAATATATTTCCATTGTAATATGTTTTCCATTGAAAAAAGTTTTTCTTCGTGACAAATGCAGCATATGTCATATGGGTATCAGAAGTCAGCTGGATTTTTCCTAACTAGAAGACTATAAAAGATAGAAAGTGCAACTATTCATAAAAGAAAAGGACAAGAGGCAATGAGGCAAACAACTACCCATCGTATTCCATTGTTTTCCTTTTCTTTGCTTGATATTTAGTTAGCTTGATCTTTGGAAAACATAACAAGCCAATTGGTAATGGTAAAATATTGATACATGCCTCGGATTATATGAAAAGAGGGGTGGGGGGAACATTATGGACAACAAGAATATACCTGTTCAAGACGATCAAGAACATCTGTTCGATCAACCACCACCATGGCATGTGCGAATCCACATGCAACACTATAAACACAACAAATTGATGTTAAAATTGCTTAAAGTCCATTGCAAGATAAATACAAGTATACGACTAATAAGTTGCATTTATCTTCAACCTGATAACATGCATGCCCTCAAGGATTTCCACCTTCTTGGGATTAGCTGAAGATCTAGTAAAAAGAGTAAACAGATCAGCAACCTCTGTGCAAAAAGAAATTATAACTCTAATCCACAAGAGAGAAACGAGGTGTACTTCTGCCCGTTGGGTCCATAACCCAATTCTCCATTTTGTGCATGACCCCAACTAATACATGACGAATCGGCACCAACATAATGGAACATTTGACCAGAATTCATACATCGCATATTCCAGCCACTGCATACATCATATGAAAATAACAAGATGATATACCAATACTTTATTTTAAAAATTACTCCGTAATAAATAATAAATGTCAATTTTTAAACTATTACAAGAGACAAAGAATACACAGCCTATACCGACAATAATTACCAATAAAAAAAATAAAAAAAAAAAAAAAAAACCATTAAAAGAACTGAATGACGAAAAAAGTGCCCTAAGTCAGCACAGCATAACTAAAAAAAATGGAGGAACTGAGGAAGTAGACATTAAATCACGTCCACCTCACAAAAGAACAGAACTTGGAAGCTTGGCCGATTAGAATTGAACACTATCAATCATAAAAGGCTAACTATCTAAATTAGCAGCTTATCTTCAGCAATTAGACAATAAAGAAAACAATTTTCATTTTATTCCCAAATCATAAAATGACAGTAAAGCAAATACTGGGAAAAAATAATGAACAGGCTACCTTAGATCCATGACTGGCTTTGGATACATCCAATCATCACCTGTATTCTTCATTTTTCCCCACATGTATAATTGACCACCAGCTAAAAAAGAAAAAAAGGATGAATCCATAAATAATTCAACATACAGAGAGTTAAACTAATCAAATGAGAACTCGGCGATCAACAAACCAAATCAATACAAGAAGAAAAAGAAAAACAATCCACCTTAAGAGAAACCAATTTGTAAGACAGTGACAGTAACAGTAACAGTTATTACTGACCGTCATGATGCCTTAGAATCCCAAAAGAGCAAAAATTCCACAAAATCAAAACTGAAGGTCAGGTCAAACCTTAACACAATTACCATTGGGTATATTTCACCTAGTAATTGCATTCCGCTAGTAGTTTAAACGAAGAGAGGGAGGGGGAGAGAGAGAGAAAGGTCAAATACATGAAAAATAAGAGCTTAGTCTCCAGGGTGTTTAAGAAACTTCAAACTCAAAACTACAAGCAATCATCGCATAATTAATGATACTAGGTGTCTTCCTCTCACCAAGTCACCCGTGATATGAGAGTGGAAACACCCATTTTGAGTTAATTTACAGCACAAACGATGAGATAAGGCCTATAAAAGGGAGAAACACCATACACACACAAGAGACCACGGAAATCAGTAATTAACTCAGCTGAAGGGTAAATCAGAGCCATACCAGCAGTACATGCCGAACTGACACCACCAGCTGAAACTATTGCATCAGAAGGTAGAACATTATGCCTCGTAAACACATCTAAACGTCGTGGAGACCACTCATCCTTCTGTTCCCGGTGTCCCAATCTATTAAAGATAACAATTTCGTCAACATACAAGCAAATTACCTATAAAGAACTAAATACTCGAGACCTTAAGACCAGAAAACACGCCAAAAACAGATTTCATGATTCATTATTATGTGGCTATGTTCATAAGAAAAACTAAATAAATAAAATAAAAGAGATCAAAATAGCATACAGACCTTCCATAACCACCATAGCCCCAGCTGCAAAAATGACACAAGCCATTAGAATCCACAACACACATAATTGAACAACATTAAACAGCTGCAAAAAAGATACTCACGTGTATACATAGCCATTGGAATCCACAGCCACTGCATCACAGAAGAAACTTAAAGTAAAAACACCATACAGCTAAAGCAGAGCAAGGACTAATTGTAGAAAACAAATTAAAAGTCACCAGAATGATTCGTTCCACATGCAACTTTAACAATTGTTTCTCCAGAGAAGGAAGCTATTGCTTTTGGCCGCGGTTGAGCTTCATAAGCAAGTCTTACAGAACTATCCTTTGTATTGTACTGAAAGGATAAGTCACAAACATATTAAATTCAGAGAGGCAACACACTTCCATGAGCACAGAACATTATATATATTTGCACTACAAAGAATCAGCACTATTATTGAAGTCGTTGCAAATACAGGATTTAACATCTAACATACAATTCATACTATAAGCATTTAGCTAGCTATCAGTGTTCAAAAGGTCAAGCCTTGTTAAAAGTTTATGTGATACAAAGGAAGAAACACCATGACGATATTCAATAGCAATAACCCATTACTTTCACACCATCCACACGACCCTAATATCCAACAATGAATCAAGAATTTCAATGCTTTCCAGCAATTTTACTTGATAAAATGTAGTGTCCAGCTTTGTAATGTCACACATCCACAAATTTAACACAAAATAAACAGAAATTTGTGATGGTCTCCTTTTATATCCAAGTAAACACATGCTCCTTCTACCTAAATATCAGCATAACCTAGTAAAGCCACATAAGTTGTGAAAGTGTGAACCTTAAATATGTACAGGATGGAACAAGCCAAAATCCCTCAAATTCAGTAAGTTGAACAATGATTCCATCAATGAGTTGAACATAAAAATAAATTCATTTCAAAGCCTTAAAATCCAAAAGTATTAAATGAATAGAAGCTTCAAAGAAAACTCATACCTCATTGTCAGTTCCATGACCAAGTTGACCATATTGGGGAAGACCAGCCGTTCTAAGCAAAAACAATATAAAAATAAATCAGAGACTTGCTTAAAGAAAAGCATGGAAATAAGCCATTACCGAAACCTTCCAAATTCAGAAAACAAAAATATTAGCACAAATCACAAACCATACAGTATAGTAGCTCCTTCAGTAGAAGATAACCATGCAGTGAATTCCCCGCCACAAGCAACTGCCTTGACTTCAGATACTTGACAGCGTATAGGAGAAGACTCTATTTCTAAAAAGGAGAAAAATACATATAAGAAGAGCAGCTGCATAGATAGAACATCAAATTGCAGGATCCAGATTTCAAAGTCTCCATGCAGATTTCAAACTTTTAGATGATAATAACAAAAAGTGCTCCTTGCAATTGGCAAAAGTAGCATATGATATATTAAGACACCTAAACAAAAAAGATCTCCGACCCCGTGTTACAGATTAAAAAAAAAATCAACTAAAATTACACAAGAGAACTCCTCCACATCATCCTCATACATTATAAAAACACAAACATTGTTCCTACAAGCCTTGAACATTTAAGTTTGGCAACTTTCAATTTTCCTGGGAAGATTGATGAAGGCCCAAAGTCAACAATCCTCTTCCTTTGAAACCTTAACGAATGTAATAGATCAGCAGCAAGGTGGAAGAGTACTGTGAGTGCAAAGTAGGGAAGCTGACTTGGAGATGAGGCAATTAGAGACCGAGGGCACTTAAACCATGTTGGACAAAGTTTAAAGAACCAAGAAAGACCAGCCTCTAGGTAGCTCAATGACCTAATCAGCATAAAACTAACTGAATTGATGCCACAATCAATTCCTTATCATCAATTCAATCATGCTCCTATATTTCTAATTATACATAGAAGATAAGCCCTTCATATCAATTTCACAATTTAATGAAAGTAATGGGAAAAAATTGATTGTATATTTTCACACTTCAGCAAAGAACAATGCTTCAAGCAACATAAATTATATATATAAATCCAACACGTGTTCTTGGATCAAAGAAGAATTAGTCCTACCATTTCGAAGTGAACCAGTTCCCAGCTGTCCATGCTTGTTCCAACCAAAGGCAAAGGACTGTCCATCATCGGCCATGACCACTGTATGTGACCGCCCGGCATCTGCTTTCACTATTCTATGCCTGAGAGAAATGAGAGAAAATGATAAGTAATCTTCAGAATACATGTGAGACACAGTACGATGGTAGAAAGACATGACCAGTATATATAAGCGAGAAAGAGATAGAGAGAGGGTGGAAGAAAACAAAATTTAAAAATCTCATTGGGACAAAAGGTCATATTATAAGAAAATATCTCAAAAGTTTTATTAAACTTAATATGGATGGATAGCAAAAATCTTATATGAACACACTAGAAGACACAGCTCCTATTTGTAAGAATCAGGGATGATTTATTAGAAAGATTAAAACTTTTATAGAAGATAAACAAAGAGAATGATAGTGATAAGGATCACCAACAAAAGCAACAATGATCTAGGTACCAACAACTAATTAATCACATCAACAACATACTTTGAGAGCTCAGATATAACTGTGGGCCTATCCCGTTGCAGAGTATCACCATGTCCCAACTGTCCCCTCTGTTACAATAACAATTTCAACGTTAACACCTCAACCAAAACAAATATGTAGATAAAGATATAAAACCTTCAAGTTAACAAATCCATACCTCATTTCTCCCCCATGTATAGCACCGACCATCGACATCCAATGCCACGCAATGACATGAAACTACATGAACATCAATTCAGCATTATAAAAATTCTTAATTATAAAATCTTCATGTAATGTAATAATAAAGACAAGTACATTAACTCAACATTTCTAGTGATCATACATCATTAAGCAAAAATGCATCAGCACGAGAGCCTAACCAACAATTCAAAGGATTATAGCATATAGTTAGCTAATTTTAGCTCACACAAACCCACTAGCATAAATCTATAGCATATTTAAGGATCATTGGCTTCAAACTCACCCACTTCATGGCATAAATCACACATAATTACATGAATCATTCATAACCAACATTTCCAATGATCATAAACATCATAATTCACTAACTAAAAGGCATAAATCACAAACCCCATAACCAAAATTTACTAAACAACCAAAAATACAAATAATCCCAGCACAAAATCTACAACTTCAACAAAATCCCACCTCCCCTGAATAAAGCAAATTCTCTTTAAATGGCTGAATTAACAAAAGGAAACTCACCGCAACCGGAGGCGACAAAGCGAATGTCGATACCGACAAGGGGACGAAGCCGAGTAGGTGAATACAAATTACCTTCAATCCCAGTTTTCTTCCTACCAACAGTATCCCAATTAGTAGAACCACAAAACAGCAACTCTCCTCCTTTCACCTTCTCCTCCTCACATTTCTTCTCAACTTCCACTTCCGCCATTTTCACTGAAATCAAAAACAAACCCACATAAACAAAGGGGTCAAATTTACAAGAAATTAGCAAAAACCCATAAACCAAAATGTTCAAAAACAACGGATCTAACGGCTACTAACCGTTGAGGGAGAAAGCAGTGAAGGGGTACGAGCAAAAATGGCGGGAAAAGGGGAAATTTTGAAGAAATCGGCGATTAGGGTTTGTAAAAGCCCTAGATCAGAGAAAGAAGAAGAAGAAGAGGAAGTGGGTATTGTGAAGTTTGGTGAGATAAAATACAAAGAAAAATTTGGGAAAAACAAAAATTGGGGAAAGTGTAAATATTAAAGAAAAAGCGGGATTGGGTGTTGGAAGTTCCAAGAGAACAGAAACACCTTCTTTTTTTTTTTCTTTTTTTTTCTTTTTGCATTGATTAGGGTGGATAAAGCACTCCTAGTACTAGTACTAGTGCTTTTTATGAGTAGTTTAACATCCACTAGATACCACATAATACTATTTTGAGTAACTTTTTTGGGATATTTGTGTGAGGTAAATGTCATTTATTTATTTTTTTGGTTCATTGTTTGGTTGACAATAATAAATGGTGGATTGGTGGTGATGTTTTTTGGAGTTGAATTGGATTTTTATCAACTTGTGAAATTGAAACGAGTTTATTTTTTTTTTTGAAGCAATTGAAATGAGTTTTGATTGGTAGAAAGTCGGTTTATAGTAAAAATTGGTAAATAATAACTCGCTTATTATTGTATGCCCTCCGTTTTTATTTACTTGCTTCATTTCTCCATGCATACGTGCGTGAAATTTTAGGAGAAATGGGATAAAGTAATAAATTAAGGAGATAGTGGGGTAATTGGAAGAATAAAAATTGTAAAATGTAAAAGTACTTGAGAGAATTGAAGGACAGATAATATGAAATTAATAAAATTGATTTATGTTGGGTCTATTAGTTGAAAGAAATAAATTAAATATTATAAAAACTTTCCAAATAAGGAAATGGAACAAGTATTTAAAAACGACTGGAAAAAAATATGGAGCAAGTATTTAAAAACGGAGGGAGTATTCAACTAAGGTTAGCTTTACCCTAATCATGTCCTTGTGCTCAATTGCTTCCTTCAAGGTCACAAACTCAAGGCAAGAATTCCTCCGTTAATACTTCTCATCCTACTATTGATTAAATTTGTTAGAACTTATTACAAATTTTTTGAAGTTATTACAACTCATTATTTAAGTATCGAATTTACTCATTTAAACTTATTGGATCTACATATAACTTAATTTAAATCATCTAATCTTCTTTCATGAAAGTTAGAATAAGTTATATGGAAATTACATCACTATATATAGATAGCGTTTCTAAATCACATAAATAGCTTAATAGAATTAAATTAAAATAACATTTTAATTAATCCGAGTTATCTTAAAGGTATCATGACCAAGCTAGCTTTTTAAATCTGTCAATAAAAATCTCCTATCCATCTAATTAATTGAAAGTGAAGTTTATCAATTATCACACATAAATAAAAACAAATATAATGTATTTAGGGGGTGGGAGAACAAATCCAAAGCTTCAAAATTTTTAATTTGACAAGCATTAGATGGACAAAATGTAAATTTCCATAATATAGATTATGTAGGAATTTACTTATCTAATCCTCCTAGGTAAGTAGAAATTTCTATACAAGTATATAACCTATGTTTCTATCCAAATTCATATGTAACCCCAATTTCTAACCAAACAAATTTATGCAATTTTCATGATATTGATTATGAAATTTAATTTTCATAAATAGAAGTTTATGAGAATTTTTACTTCCTCTTCCTTTGTTAACCACAACCATAATGCTTTGTTAACCAATCAAAACTTGGTTTAGTGGTAAGGTCTATATTTCCCAAGTCCCAACTACGAGGTTGTGGGATCAAATTCTGTTGAAATATGCCTTGAATTTGGGTTTAGGAGCAGCGAGCTATAGCTCGAGAGGTAGCTCGGTAGTTTCGGAAGCATATGGAGTTGCGGCGAAATTGGAGCTATAGCTCCTATGCGAGTGAGCTATAGCTCACGAAGACAGATTGGTTCGACTAGGTCGAGCGATAGCTCCCTACCGCGCGTTACAACAAATTCCACAAATTCCATTAGAGGCACTTTAATTTGTTCTTTTCTAACATCTGTTACAACAAAGATATAATTTGTTCTTTTCTCACATCTGTTACAACAAATTCCATTAGAGACACTTTAAGGTAGGGATTCTCTATTTCTCTTACCCTCCCCCCTCCACTCCTAAAGCTTAACCTGCTAACTCGAAGTGAAAGGACCTACGAGAGTAAGGTGAATAGAATAAAGCCTTAATTGTGCATTTTACTTGTAAAAAATAGAAAAAGAAAAACAAAGGAGTAGATGGAGAATGAAGTGGCAGGCTAACAGATAAGAAGCTACGAGTAACAGACAGCAGAAGTCCTGTTATCTCAAACTGAAACCTCATCATTTTCTCTCTCCTCCATCCATGCCCTCACTCCTTTCATGGCTTCTTTACCTTCTGTTGCTGTCAATGGCAATCTCAAACTCGACCCTGACTTAAGAAAGTCGACACCCATCCATGAAAAGGTATCAATTTCATCATCACTACTTCAATTTTATTCTACCTATTTTTCCATGATCGTGTAATTGTGTTACTGCTTATAGTTGTGATCTTTCTGTTCATTTCAATGCAAATTCTTCAATTTTGTGTATTTATGCATCAATTCACCTTTCTGGGTTAGTTTAACTGTCATTTTCAATTGATTCAGTTACTTCCTAGCTTAAATTTGGAAAATTTAATGAATTTTACACCCCCTTTATTAAGTTATGATGATTTAGGATATGATTATATAATGGGTGTTGAATTTTTAGCATAATTGTTGATTATTTTCTGTAATTTTGGAATTTCAGAGTCCAAGTGTTAGCTACCCAAATGTTAACTTGGAGAAGAGTTTCATAACTTTAAAAGAGGCATTATCTACCTTTAATGAAGGTACACAAGTTGAATCTTCATTCTATGTTCCCTTGTTGCAAGAATGTGTTGCGAAACGATCTTTGTCGAATGCTCAAATGGTGCATGCCCACATTGTTAAAACTGGAACCCATGAAGATACATTTGTTATGACTTTTCTTATTAATGTGTATGCTAAATGTGGGCGGATGGAGTATGCACAAAAGGTGTTTGATCGATTGCCTGGGAGAAATGTTGTTAGTTGGACAGGGCTTATGACGGGTTATGTTCATGACTCGCAGCCTGAGGTAGCCATTCGAATTTTTGTAGATATGTTGGAAGTTGGGGCGTACCCAACGATTCATACGTTGGGTACGCTATTAAGTGCTTGTTCATCTATGTTACTTGTAAAATTGGGGAAGCAAATTCATGCCTACATTGTTAAATATGGTATAGAATCTGACACGAGTGTTGGCAATGCCCTTTGTAGCTTTTACTCCAAGTGTAGAAGGTTGTCTTCGGCTGTTGATACATTTAGAAGGATAGAAGATAAGAATGTTGTCTCATGGACCACGGTCATTTCTGCTTGTGGCGATAATGGGGACCCTATGATGGGCGTAAGGTATTTTATGATGATGCTGTCTGAAGATATTGAGCTCAATGAGTTCACATTCACCAGCATCTTGAGTTTGTGTTGTGCAATGCTCGCTTTGGAAGTAGGGAGACAAATACATTCCTTGAGCGTCAAACAGGGGTTTCAAGGGAATCTGCTAATCGATAATTCAATAATGTACTTGTACTTGAAATGTGGATTGATTGATGAAGCAAAAAGACTGTTTGATGAGATGGACTCTGTCAGCTTGGTTACATGGAACGCTATGATAGCAGGCCATGCCCAAATGATGGATCTTGCAGAGAATCGGATTTCTGCTCACCAAAGTGGAAATCAGGGATTAAATATCTTTTTGAAGATGAATAGGTCTGGTGTAAAACCAGACCTTTTCACCTTGTCAAGTGTCTTGAGTATATGTAGTTCTCTGGTGGCCTTGGATCAAGGGGAACAGGTTCATGCTCAGACCATAAAGAGCGGGTATTTGGCTGATGTTATTGTGGGAACTTCCCTGCTTAATATGTACAATAAGTGTGGCAACATTGACTATGCTGCCAAAGCTTTCGAAGAGATGCATACGAGGACTATGATATCTTGGACATCTATGATCTCAGCTTTTGCCCAACATGGCCGATCACAGGAAGCACTGCAATTATTCAAGGAAATGTTAGTAGCTGGAGTGAAACCAAATAAGATCACGTTTGTTGGTGTATTAGCTGCTTGTAGCCAAGCCGGCATGGTTAATGAGGCCCTAGAATACTTTGAAATGATGAAGAAAAGCTACAAGATTAAACCGATACTGGAGCATTATGCATGTTTGATAGACATGTACGTAAGGCTAGGGCAATTGGAGGAAGCCTTTGCTCTGACCAAGAAGATGAACAGTGAACCCAATGAAGTGATCTGGTCAATTTTGTTTGGAGGTTGTAGAAATCAAGGAAATATGGAATTAGGCTGTTATGCTGCTGAACAATTGCTCAAGTTGAAGCCTAAAGATAAAGAGACCTATATTCTAGTGTTAAACATGTATATTGCAGCTGAAAGATGGCAGGATGTCTCAAGAGTAAGAAAAATGATGAATACTGAAAAGCTTGGAAAGTTGCAGGATTGGAGTTGGTTAAGCATCAAGGACAAAGTATACTCGTTTTCACCAAAAAATTGGTCGTATCCTCATAAAATAGAGATCGAGCAATACTTGAGCGTGTTGCTTGATGAGTTCAAGAGTAAGGGATATCAGTCTCAAAGCACGCAAGTAGTTGACGGGGAGGACAATGAAGCAGAACCTGCATCGACTGTAAATCACAGTGAAAAGTTAGCCATTGCTTTTGGATTGTTGCAGACAAGTAAAGGAATTCCACTAAGAATTGTCAAGAACATTAGTATGTGTAGGGACTGTCATACATTCATCAAGTTTGTCTCTGAATTTACTGAACGTGAAATCATAGTCCGTGATAGTAAGCGACTCCATAGATTTGTCGATGGACATTGTTCTTGTGGAGATTTTGGCAATCTATTATAATTTAATTATTTTCTGTTTGCTTGGGTGATTAGTTAAATCATACTGCCCACCGTAAAATCAACTTCGTATTTCAGATATACTCGCACAAGTAGAGCACGAAAAAAGTGAGTTGAGTGAATGCAAGGGTAGGGATGGAGGCAACAAACTGACCACCAGAAGAGCTGTTGATGGTTAGTAAAAACCACCGAAAGTTTGAATCTTTAAGCTAATTGAAGAACGTAGCAAACCTTTTTTTTTTTTTTTTTTTTTTTTATATATAAGCTTTAACAGCTAAAATACTGAAAGTCAGTAGATGTCTCAAGCTAATTACTAGTACTACACAATCCAATCTGGCCATTAAGTGTCAGTGACGACAATAATACATCTATTCTCCAAGTATAGTTTTAAATTATGTCATACATATAAATATAGTTTTCATCATAGTCGACAAACAATGATTTAAGCCAAACTAAAGATTAAATGAATAGATTTCATGACAATGAATTGGGATATACTGTAAATACACATATATAACATATATACGCTATCAGACTGCTAATCATCTTAGAAAGGTGCCACCGACTTCTGAAAAGATACCACGTTGTCTAACTCTTTGGAGCCTTGGCATCTTGCTGAGACTCTGTAGACTGGTTTTGTTGATGCTCTTGGGTCT